AATGGGCTGCTGGACATTTCTGGCTCACCTTTTTCCTTCAGTGACTATTCCCTCTTGGCTGTGGACCAGTCCATTCTATCCATCGTCCTGAGTGTCCATGCCTCAGAGCGTCTTTGTCACTCCCTGACTGAATTCCAGTGTTCTCCCTTAGACATCCTGTTCAATGTGTGGATATCTATTTCTTCTTTGTGAAAGAGTGAGTGCTGGGTTCCGCTAGTCAGCCATCTTGATGACATCCTCAGCAGTGGTTTTATTTTAATATAGCTTTACACTCAGCAGAGAGAGCCCATCTATACAGTATCATTCATGATTTGGTTTCTAATCTATACCCACTACCAATTCTAAAGTGCATTAAACAAGACTATCATGTGTTCCCACAGTGGATGGTGTTTACCTTCCTAGAACATGAGAGGCTCTTGAGCCTATTTCGTTAGACACTTGAACGGCTCATATCACCACCAATGTCAACTTCAACTGAAAGATTAGGAGGAAAACTTAGTAAATGATGCATGAGCATTTTATATTCAAGGGTTATTCTTCTTAATAAATAGAAAAATAAATATAAAAGACAAGAATGCCCTCTGGAAATTTGATGTTTCACCTGTAAAAGATTTTCCTAAAATCCTTACCCAGACTTATTGTGGCCAAATAAAGATGATAAGATTGAATACTGTAGAAAATAACCCGTATGTGGTGGTCCATTTTCAATTCTAAGTGCTGTAATGAATGCAACAAAGAAGTAAAGAAGCAGAATTTACTGTCAGCAGCCCCTTCTTTCCCTTTCATCCCGCAGCCAGACACCTATCAGTCAGGGCCCACTTAACCACCCCCTCCCAACCCACCAAAGAATTTAGTTTAGGCTGGCTTGCGGCATAGATAAGTCTGCTCTTTTTTATCAGCTAAGGGCAGCCACTAGGGCTATAGGTCAAATGTTTAAAAACGTCCTGAGGCAGTCACAGTGCATTATGGGCTGCAATAAATTGCAGCAGAAAGACCCTAAAAAACATACTCGAACCCTTAACACATCTACCAATAGGCAGGTCAAGGAAGATTGTAAACCCACAGAACTCAGCCAATGAAGGACTGGGAGGGACTTGAACACTAGGAAATAAATGGCTTGTTAAACCGTTCGGGTTGTGCCTCCATGCCAAACACCCAGTCTCCAAAACTGCCGTTAAAGTCTCACTTCTGCTTTTCTCTGTGCCCTGGAGTCCATTCTTTGGCTTTGGACCGGTGAGAGCGTTTCTTATAAATGCCAGTGTGATTTTTTCCCTGCGGGCTTGCTGTAACATAAACTAGTGAGCTTTCAATGGTTGGATTTTATCTGTTTTGAGAGTTCTTTTTTCTTAATAGATTTAATTGCTGCATTTAGAAAACAACTTGGTTTACCTTTATGCTGCAAAATGTAGTTTAATCTTACTTTTAGCAGCATATTTTCTAGAGAGTCAGTTATAGCTTAACAAAAGCCAGATCTCAGTTCCCTTTTTTCATTTTAAATACCCTACTTTGGGTTTTTTCTTATGGGTTCTGTTAAAACTAACCAGGACGGCATGTGTGGCGATAAGAAACAGGATTATTTAAGGTTTTTTTTTGTTTTTGTTTTTGTTTTCAGAGACCATCCGAACTCTATTGCACTGTTTTTTCTCTGGAATTGATAATCCTATTTCAGCATCTAAATATTATCCTCTTCAACCTCCAGAAGGACTTTAACCAATCAGCCATCTCCTCTTCCATATGCACATTGAACACAGGTTCTTTCCTTTTATTTACAGTATGTGCAGTGCTCACCAACCAAAGTAGCTTCTCTCTGTGGCCACCTTTTCAGGTTATTGTGCTTACACATTTTTCTTCCATCACATCCTTGAAAAATGACCCTACTTTTATACGTTTCAGTACTTTACCACCTATTCTCTAATTAACTCAGCATAAACCAGCTTCTGTACCCGTCCCTCAAATGAAACCACACCATGAAATATTCACCATGGCAGAGGCTCCAGAGATGAGCTACTCATCTTCATCTCTCTGCAGTGGTTGCCATGTTTGATCACCTTTTCTCCTTCTTAGATACCACATCAGCTGAACTCTTCTGAGCCTTCTCCTAGTATGGGGCTGATTTTTTTTGGGAGGGTTAAAACTCCACTTTTTAGAATAAAAGAGTACAAATCTATGTTAATGAGTATCCAATATATAAAGATATAATTTTTTTGACACCAATAAGATAAATGGGAGCAGGGAGGAGCTGTAAAGAGGTAGAATTTCTGTATGTGATTGATGTTATCAGTTTAAATATGTTTATTTGATTTTAAGTTCTGTGGTACATGTGCAGGATGTGCAGGTTTGTTACATAGGTAAACATATGTCATGGTGGTTTGCTACACCTAGCAACCCATCACCTAAGTATTAAGCCTAGCATGCATCAGCTATTTTTCCTGATGCTCTCCCTCCCGTCGTGTCTCCCCACTTCCCACCAGGCCCCAGTGTTTGTTGTTTCCCTCCCTGTGTCCATACGTTCTTATTGTTCGTCTCCCACTATAAGTGAGAACATGCAGTGTGTGGTTTTCTGTTCCTGTGTTAGTTTGCTGAGGATAATGGCTTCCAGCTCCATCCATGTCCCTGCAAAATACATCATCTCATTATTTTTCATGGATGTATAGTATTCCATGGTGTATATGTACCACATTTTCTTTATCCAGTCTATAATGGGCCTTTGGGTTGATTCCACATCTTTGCTATTTTGGATAGTGCTACAATGAACATATGTGTGCATGTATCTTTATGAGGCAATGATTTATATTCCTCCGGGGATATACACAATAATGGCATTATCTTTATAAGACAATGATTTATATTCCTTTGGGTATATACATTGCAATGGTATTCTGGGTCAAATGATATTTCTGGTGCTAGGTCTTTGAGGAATTGCCACACTGTCTTCCACAGTGGCTGAACTGATTTACATTCCCATCAGCAGTGTAAAAGCGTTCCTATTTGTCTGCAGCCTTGCTAGCAGCTGTTGTTTCTTGACTTTTTAATAACAGCCATTCTCACTGGTGTGAGATGGCATTTCATTGGTTTTGATTTGTGCCTCTCTAATGATCTATGGTATTGAGCTTTTTTTCATATGCTTGTCGGCTGCATAAATGTCTTCTTTTGAGAAGTGTCTGTTTGTATCCTTTGCCCACTTTTTTTTATGTTTAATTTTTTTTGAGACGTAGTTTCACTCTTGTTGCCCAGGCTGGAGTGCAATGGCATGATCTAGGCTCACCACAACCTCCGCCTCCCGGTTTCAAGCAATTCTCCTGCCTCAGCCTCCGGAGTCGCTGGGATTACAGACATGTGCCACCATGCCTGGTTAATTTTTTATTTTTAGTAGAGACGGGGTTTCTCTATGTTGGTCAGGCTGGTCTTGAACTCCTGACCTCAGGTGATCCACCCGTCTCAGCCTCCTAAAGTGCTGGGATCACAGGCGTGAACCACCGCGCATGGCCTCCTTTGCTCACTTTTTAATGGGGTGTTTTTTTTTCTTGTAAATTTAAAACAGGAATTTTTACAGGTGACAAAACAAAGAACCTGAGACTTTTGTTACCTGTCCAAGGTAAATTGTGGACCTGGACTCAAATTCCAGAGGTCCTGTACTTTGCAGTTCTCTCTCTCAGAAGTGCTGCCGCTGCTGCCCATGAAATAGTGCAAATTAGGAAAAGAAGACACTTTGGGCTAAACAATAGAAAAGGTTTTTTCCTCTGACATAGAGAACAGGCTTGCGGAGCAGAGAGCAGGCTGGACTTGGGTCTCAAGGCCCGTCCCCGTCCTCCTGCATCCTGTAGGAAACCGTCTGCGGCAACCCAGGAGTGCCCCCTTTCTGTCTCTCTCTCTTTCCCTCCCCACCCCCGCATCCTTCCCTCTCTTCTCCCACCCTTTTCTTCATTGACCCTGAGTCCTTTTCCTGAGTCTAACGAGGCCGTCGGGGCGGTCCGGTTTTCAGAAGGCAATTTCTTGTGCGTTTATCCCTATGGGATTTTGCTTCGCTGGGGCTCCAGGAGACTAAAGAACCCCAAGGCCCACCCAGCACCACCTGCCGCGGTCCCCTGCTCGCTGCTGAGGCGTTCGCGCCCACTTTGGGCGCCCACGGGCACCTGCCGCGCTTCCTGCCTCCCGGGCGGCGGCTGCTGGGAGACTTCAACTGCAACGCTGAAAGCACAGCCTGTTCGGGTCGTCTTCACAGCCGCGATAAGGTGAGCATTTCACATGTCTGAGAGGTATCTTTAGTACTTTGTCCAAATTTTGGAAATAATGGAATTTTGGAAATATTTTATCTTAGACTTTCAGCATTCCCAGGTTGATCCGCCGCCTGGTGAACTCGGCTTCCTGGTTGCCTAGGTTACAGTAAAAATAGCAAAGATTCCGGGCACTTGGCTGGGCTTTTTCCAAATCCACGGAGCCGCGCCTGGGCCCCCAGCCTGCCCTCCCGCGAGTCCGGCGGGTCCTCGGGCCTGGCCGGCGACCGAGCGGGACCCGACCCAAGACCCTGCGCTCCTGCCCCTGCGCGGAGGCCGATCCCGGCGTGCGCTGCGTTTTCCTTCCTCTTAGTTCTACTCCTTTCCGTAAGAATCTGCGCCCAGATAGAGAACATTAAACGGTCAAGTTTCCAAACGCGATGAGGTCACTTTAAGAATTCAAAGGACTTGAGGCACCTGCCCGGGGGAGGTGGGGGGACGTCCCTCGGCTCCCCCTCCCCGGAAACGCCTGAGTCCGGCGGCGACCTCGGGGACTCCCAGGCCAACGCCAGGAGCGGAGCGAGTGCGGAGTTCGGAGCCTGCTTGCCCCAGCGTCCCGCTGGCGGTCTGCAGCCCGGCCAGAAGGTGAGGGGGGCGGGGAAGCACCGCGCGGGAGGTGAGGGCGGGGACCCCGTACGAGAGATGAGGACGGGCGCTGGCACCCGGAGCGCTGCGAGGGGCGGGCCCGGGCGGGAGTGAGTAGGCGGGGACGACGGGGCGGGGGCGGGAGCTGGGGAGATTCGCCAATCGGTGCGGGCTCCGGTTGTCCCCAGCCCCGGGCCCGGGCAGCTGGGCACCCGGGCGCAGTTCCCCACCCGGTGCGGACTTCGGAACCCGCCGGAGGACTGACGGGCGCCGCCCCGCGAGCGCATCTCCGCTGGACCCGGCGCCCCGGCCGGTCCGTTCCCGGCGAGGATGCGCGCCCTGGCTGCCCTGGACGCGCCCCCGAGCGAGCGGCTACTTCCCCGGGACCCCGAGGCTCCCCGCGACCCCGACGCCGCGCGGCCAGCGCGCAGGAGCGCAGTGGAGAGGCTGGCGGCCGATCGCGCCAAGTACGTGCGGGGCCCGGGGGCGGGCCGGGGCGCAGCTTCCGAGGGCATCGGCCCCGGAGCGGTCAAGTGCCTGGGAACCGACCCTGGGCCCCCGGCCCGCGCCCCTGCCCCGGTGGCGCGCAGGGCTATTGCGCGGAAGCCGCTGAGACCCGACTCGCTGATCATCTACCGCCAGAAATGCGAGTTCGTGCGAGGACCGGGCGCCGACGGCCGCAGGGCGAGCCTGGTGAAGAAGCTCTTCCAGGGGCCAGGCAAGGACAAGGCGCCGGTGCCCCCTGAGACTCCCCGTACGGGCGAGGAGGGCAAGGCCGGGAACCCGGAGACCGTCCCCACCAAGCCTGACCCCGCAGCGGCCCCCGCGCCCCCCGAGACCTCAGCCCCCTCCGCGCGCTCCGGCTCCGCGGCGCCCTCCAGGGCCCCGGCCGCGCCCCCTGGCCCAGAGCCGCGCGTGGTGAGGCGACGGGGTCTGCAGCGCTCGCAGTCGGACCTCAGCTCGCGCTACTCCGCCGCCCTGGAGTCTGACACCTTCTTCCAGTACTGCGGCCTGGACCCCGAGGTGGTGGAGGCCCTGGGCAGGGAGAACTTCACCGCGGGGTCGGACCGCGTGACCCTCAAGGTGCGCAGCGTGAGCGTCGCCACCTCCGGCAGCGGCTTCTCCCGGCACAGCGGCGGCGGCGACGACGGGCTGCAGGAGGAGGAGCTGGTGGAGCAGGTGCCCAGCACCACCTCGGTGGTCGAGAGGAACGCCCGCATCATCAAGTGGCTGTACACCTGCAGGAAGGCCAAGGAGACCCCCGGCCAGGGGCTGCAGGGGCCGGCGTGACCGCCTGCGCGGGAGCGGAGCGGGGCCCAAGGTGTGTGCCAGGAAGGCTGGGGGCGGGGCTGGCTGTGTGCCGGGGAGCCAGAGCGCGCGGAGGGGGGCTGGGGTCTCGGCGGGCGCGGGGGCCGCTGCGGGGCCGGGCTTGGTGGGGACTGTCTCCGGGTTCCCCGGGGGGGAGTGAGCCTCGGAGAGTGGGACCCTGCTGGGCGGTGGCCGGTCACAGCTGATGCTTAGAATTGAGTGCGATTTGGAGCTGCGGTGTGAAAGAGACCCAAGACACAGACGCAGAGGGTTGTGAGCTGAGCCCCGGGTGCTGGAGAGCAGAAGGTACCAGTCCAGCTACCTGCAGATCCAGGCCCTTAGCAGTCTGCTGCGTCCGGCCTCCTGGAAAAGCAATTCTGCAAATTAACGTGTCCCATTTGGCTTATTATTGTGAAAACAGGAGAAATCCAAAATGCTGCCAGAAAGCAATTTTGCACCCCCGGTATTATTACCTGCGCTGGAAACGGCTTAAGAGCCCTATTCCTGAGTGCGTTGACCTGCGCTGTGGGCGGTTCTGACGTTTGATTGGAGCTGACCTGTCCGCCTGCAGCCCTAGGTAGGCGCTGCTGTCTCACTGGAACAGAAAGGAAGGCTCCCTGTGCTTCCTGGAGGCCTGTGCTGAAAGGGGTGACAACTTCTCCACAGGATCTTGTCAGCACTTTGACTTTCACTTAGCAACAAAGATCTTTGTTTGGCTAAATTTTATTTAAGTTGTTTTGAGAGCTTCAGTTTTTTAAACTAGGCAAATTGCACTAGATTGTAAAGAGAGTCTAGTTTATTTGCCTCTGATGATACTGCAGGAAGTAACTCCCTTTTGGACAACCAGTAGTGCCGGATTGACTTAGGGCTTCTTTAGCTTTTCACTGGGGAACTAAGGAGTGCTGGTTCTCACTGTTAGCCTGCTCTTCCCTATTGCTCTTCCCTATGGGCATTTTACAAAGTAGTGAAGAGAAAGTACCTTTTCAGGGCTCTCTTTGATAACCAGGAATTTAAACATTGCAACACCTTTTTTCTCTTATCCTACAATGACAACTTGCTATCAATAAATTTTTTAAATCATGAAATGAAATTATTGTCTGCCATTGTGATAAACTAATTGAAGATGCATGGCAGCCTGTAGAGTTTGGGGGAGGCTGCCCAAGAGATGTTTGCACAGGACTCACCTATGTTTGACAACTGAAAAAATATCCAGTAACTTCTCTGGCTATGACTTTGGTATAGACATAAAAATTTGGTTAATTCAGTCTTGTTCTTGAACTCAGAAGTCTCAGGACTTAAGTCCTTCCTTATAATTTATAGAAGACTTGTGTTTTCCACTAGGCTAAGTCCCCAACATATGTATATAGACAAAGTTCTAAAAAACAAACAAACAAACAAACAAACAAACATGAATTTGTAGTTTTCACAAACTGTCCTTTGGATCTGGGTTGAATGAATGTTGGCAAGGGTATTTTAATGATGGTACCATATGTAGGGCAGGAGCTCTGGAGGGTGGCCATGGTCACTGGAGGGACACAGTCTGGTAGATAGTGCCCTAAACCAGAATTAAGGGCCTGTCTTATGTTAGCAAGTGATTCCTGTACTATAGACCAGGCTTTCTTTGTCCAAAAAAGAAGGGAGGTAGGCAGATGGTTTTGAACCTCTACATTTTCTGGTCTGTCTAGTAATAATTTGTGTTGCATAATTAAAACCCAGAAATGGAAAAAAAAAAGTTGTCTATTGAAATATGTGAAAAGCAAATTTATGAATAAGCTCCCTCCACGTAGCCAGAACATGTGCAGCCAGTAGGTAGACTTGGTGGTATAGTGGTGAGATAATAATATGGCATACAAATAGAACCAAAATATAACCTGAAAACATAAAAATAAAAGCAGCCGGCTCTGATGCCTCCAGACCCCGGCTGGTTCCCATCTCCAGTTAGCCAATGTCAAAATAGTCATCTGAGTGAGAATTTAGTTGACTTCATAGACTAAATCCTAAATACCTTTTAGGCTTGAACCTATGAAAAATATAAGAAGCTTAGTTAGCCTGTGAGAACTTTCACTTTTATAACAAGGAGAAGAGAAATAGTTGAAGGAAAAGGGAAAGTTACAGCAGGTTTGGGAAGGCACTAAGGGTAGGGGCAGGAAAAAGAGGCTCCTGGGCTTCCTCCTCTCCTCGTCTTCCTTCACTTGAATCCGTTTGTTTCAGGCTGGAGACAATGGCACCTGTCTTCTGAGAAGTTTTACATTATTTCTCAGAGCAGGGGGACAATGGCACAGAAGCTACCCCAGTTTTTATATGGAATCTGCAGTCACCAGCACTATGAAGATCTCCTTCACTAATGTACTCCCCTAGACCCAAACCAGTATTATTTCTTTGAAACTGCAATGCAGAGACCGACTGCCTGGCTGCCGGGGGCCGGGGGTATGAGAAGAACATGGTAGCCTGGGCTTTCTCCAGATCCCTGGAACAGGGTCCACTCATGACTTCAGCCCCTGCACAGCTCCCCGCCTCCCTGCACTGGTGTTCCCTCTGGAGGAGGCCAGCAGGAAGAGCAAGGACAGAATGTCACACCTGGTCAGTGGGGCGGTCTTCTGACTTCTGGCAGAAGTCCCTTGTTCTGAGACCAGTTCTGCAACTTCTGGAAGATGCAGAAGCAGGAAATTAAGCTGTGCTTTTTCTGCTGAAATTTATAAGGATTCATTTTAGGTTTTCATGAAAGATTCAGAAAACTTGAGATGAACAAAGGTAGGTTTTCTAAGTGAAAGAGAAAACAAATATATTTTATAATATGTGGTTTTTGTCCCCTTGGTAGATAGAGATTTATACATTATAATAAAAATGTCTCAATTACAATAGAACTAAGTTCTTAAGTTTCTTGCCCTGTGGGGTGAAGATAATTGCTTTCAAAACTGAGACTATCAGAATTGGGGAATGACTCATATAATCTGCACACAAGTCCTCTGGGGAACCCATGAGTAATGGTTGTATATGGGTAATTTTGGTCTTCTATTTCCCAGAGTTTAGTTTATGAAAATCGCTCTTTTATCTGCTGTTATTTAGTCATCTTCCTGTCTTTCAATTCATCAAACAGGATTTGCCAAAATTTAGATCTTTCTAGTTTGCACAGAATATATAAGTTGCTGCTTTTAATACTGGCATAAATAACTTGTCCTTTGGGAACTTAGGGATAAAACATTGCTTAATTTCAAGGGGCAAAAATGTCCAGACATTCCACAGCTACCTTCACATTTATCCTTGACACAAAGAAAAAAGAAGTGCCTGTAGAAGTCCACTGAAGGCTCCTGGAGCAGAGCTGTGCCTCACATTTGCAAAGATGTAGTGGGAATAGAGAGCAAGCGAACTCAGGACTTCTCAGCCTTCCTACTCCTTTCTTCTTTTACTGTTCTGGAAAGCTAAGCAACTAGGAGCACATTTTAGGTAAACAAGTGGCTGGAGTAGCTATGAGGCCACTGTTCCATGTCGTGTGACCCACACCTGGGCCTTTAAGAGATAATGGTGTTTGAAAAGGGAGGAGTCTGATTGCCTTCAGATATTCAGTTTGACTGCCTGCCTATTTTGTTGTCCAACTTTGCGTAGTTAGCACTGGCCTTACCAACATTTAAAGAAGTTTTCTTTACTGCCCCATGAGTAGTTGGAGGCAAAGAGAAATTTGTAAAGCCCAGAAAAAAGCCTGCAGGGAGATGGAATTTGTTCTGCCAGAGAAATGGGATGATATCTGCGTTAAATAAAGTTAGTGACCTCTTTGCAAAATTTAAAATGAAAAAGAAGATGTTTCAAAATGCAGAGAATGTCAAAAAACAAAAACTACAGGGACCAGATCTGTATAATATTTAGTTTTTATTATACTAACTTTTGTCTGGACTGGAGTTGATTCATTGTTTTTTCTTTAACTCCTCAGGAAGCAAACCTTTCCAATGATGAAGACTTCTTGAAGGATTTCATGGGTAACTTGGGATCCCAGGGCCATTTTGCCAGTATGCCTAGGTGACCACGTGATTGCTGTTTTCCCAGAAATACAGCGTCCCATTGACAAAGCTTACGTGCTCTCAGAAGGTTTCAAATACAACAGAGAATATGGGAACACAGATTTTGAAATTTAGCTGAATTGTAATAGCTGAATCTCTAAAAGGCATTTTCCTTGTCTGAGGTGAAACTAGCATTGCTTCCAGAGGGCAGCTGGAAACCCTACAGCCGTTTGGAAATCTTTTTGACTGACTTGCTGACTAAAAGGTACTGTGATACATTTTAACAATATCTAGGTTGATTTTTTTTAAATCAAGGAAAATGAAAACCAAGCATGAATGCCACGTTATGTGCTCCTTTTGACCATCCTGGGCTGATTAGCATCATTTAAATCAAAGTAACCATGAAAAGGTATATTCTGTTTCAATTCTGTGGCCAAAAAAGAGTAAACACACACAGGCTCAGACACACTGACCCCACTTGCCAGAGCATTACTGCACTATAAACTACATTTAAATCCCAAACTATACTACTGTGTATCTTATTTAACAAATCAGAGAACACTTTTAAAATAACTTGAGGACTACAAGGTCATTCTATTAATGGCATTCTCCGTTTGGGTTGTAGGCATGTGGAAGTACCCATTAAAAGATAAATTAGAGTTTAAATACTGATCAATAAAACCTCTTGTAACTGGACAGTTTCTGGAGAGTTGGAAGAAGAATCTTGAGTTTCCTTTGGTCAGATGAATACAGCATTTCACTTTTGCAGCACTATTTAGAATGCACTTCATAGTTCTCTTGTTCCCAACTTCCAAAAAGAACAGAAAACTGGTTTACACGGAACAGAAGCATCTGAGGCAGGGCCTCTTCCCTGTCCTTTGATCTGACTCACACCTTCACATATGACATAATCAACCCAAATTTGACACCAATTCACTCTTTTCTACGAAGAGGATATTCTGAAACAAGGGACAGCCTAAGGGTGGCTGGAATGAGAGTGTTGATGGGGGTTACCGGGTCCCTGATTCTGAACTTGTTCATGACACCCACAGAACCTTCTGAGAAATAATCCAAAGAAAATTTGTTACCCAGCCAATTCTTCAAGAGCTTACTATCAAAATATATCTTTTCAAGAAGAAAATCATTAGCGAGAAGAATGTGGAGGGCAGAGAAGTGGGTTTCTCATTGATATCATATTTTGTTAACCATTTCATTTTGAATTATTCAAGTCTTGGTTAATATTGTATTCTATTTTTGTAACTATTTTACTGTGAGAGTAGGTCATTGGGTTACTTAGATATTTATTTTTACAGTTATTTGTCTTCAGATAGTTTTATTTTACTTCATATGATTTTAGTTTTTATCAGTATAATTTTAAATCATGTTTTTCTTGGTCATCTCTGTATATATTGTATAACTGAATTTTTATTGTTTGACTGCAAGTGGAGTGTTTGCCACTCAATAAAGTTCTCAGTACTGTAGTGACTTGTTTTCAAATAAGTCCCAGATAGATGTTTGGGAGCCTTTGCTGGCCACCAGATGCACCTTTCTGAATACAGACTCTGTCAGGACAGCAGGTCCCCTGATCTAAGCATTTTCCCCAATGGTTGCTCTAAAAATGCTGCTGTTTTTGTGTTCACTGTATTGCACTTAGTTAAAAAAAAAAAGATAATGTTAAAATGAGAGCAATTTTTTAAAGGACCTTGTCATATACTCAATTCCTTATTTTCAGATGTCCCATTAATTTTATATATGAAGGCTTTCTGTAAAAGTTTCTACTGTCAGAACAGGATGGATGCAGCCTGGGGCAGATTTATTTAAGATCAAAATGGTGCAGACTCATCATTCATATCATAGGGAAAAATATAAAAACAAAGTGGTTTCCACTAAAACCACCAAGATCTTTTAGAACTGTTTGCATCTTCGGTGGTGGCATAGGAAAAGAGAAGAATTCAGCTGGAGTAAATTCTAGAAGTAGATATCAGAAACGGACATGAAGAACAGGGGAACTGGGTGGCATCAGACTCCTAAAGAAGTGAGTTAATCCTCCTTCCCTTCCATTTAGATTCATGTCTCAGCTCCACGTTTTGAGTATGTGTAAGATGTGAGAAGTTCTTTCTTCAGCCAGGGGTGGTGACTCACGTCTTTAATCCCAGTGCTTTGAGAGGCCAAGGTGGGAGGATCACTTATGCCCAAGGGTTTAAGGCTGCAGTGAACCATGATTGCACCACTGCACTCCAGCCTGAGTGACAGAGCAAGACCCCGTCTCTAAAAATTATGTAAAAAGTAAAACTAAAGAACGTCTTGCCTAAACCTGAATTACTCCAATTTAATGAGTGACTTTGAGAAAAATCAGACTTTAGTTCAGTCTGGATGAAAAGATTCTGATTGCTTTCCACAGGAATGTGCCACAGTGACAGCCGCAAGATGCTTGTATTTGTTCATGAAATAATGACACTTTTAAAAAATGTAATTAAACATAATGAAAAAATGATTGATAGAGCAAAGGAAATAACAGTAGTCTTTTTCACTTATATGTGGGTATGATCAGCAATGCCTTAGAGTAAAAGGTATTCATGTACCTAGCTGGTTTCCTGGTTATGTGTACACATAAATTCACATAGTGTTTTAAACTACTGGGCATTGACACTGGAACAAAAAGGAGGCTTTATTGAACATTGTCCTTTTTCAATTGGTTCAAAGTTCAGCACTGTGGTTATCACCGGTGATGCCAGAAAACATCAGTAGACTTAGACAATTGTTATGGCAGTTTCCAAACAGAGCTTTTTCTACACACTATTTGTAGCTGGTGTGCAATATTGAATATTCCATATTAAAGAAATAAAGTATTTTTATCATTTATTAATACTAATTTATGAGTTTGAGTAATGTGCAAAAATTTGAAATGAGAGTCTGCTCATCACAGTTCCTTGCCTTCTGTTTCCCCCCTTTCTTCCCGAGTGTCATCTCAGCAGATTATGGGGAGGAATGAGGGGAAGGCATCCCAAGGATTGTCCTAGGTGAGCCGTGTAGCACCCGAAATCATTGACTCCCCTCAAGATGAAATGCAGTCAAAGCAGTTTTGAATGTTCTGCACTTTGCTTTTCTTTGTTTCATCAGTCTTTTGCTTAAAATATTTTCATGTTTTGCTAACGCTGTCATTGGAAAAAGGGCACAAACAAAAGCACAGTTTGCACCCTTTTCATTAGCAAATTAAGTGAAGGCAGACTCTACTTATGTGGGTTTTCTCTCATTGTGCTCTATGCACCCGGGGGTGTGGTGGCTTGGGCAGCTGGTGAGTCATGGAACCCTGATGTTTTTCTCGATGCCCTGGCTGAGCCAGACTCTGCCGTCTTGCTGTCTTGCTCAGTCTTGCAGATGCCTATGCCTAACCCTAGGGAGGAATCCAAACATAGGCTTTCCTTCTTCTTCTTTTTTCTTTTTCTGAGACTGAGTCTCACTCTGTCGCCCAGGCTGCAGCGCAATGGAACAATCTCAGCTCACTGCAACCTCTGCTTCCTGGTCAAGTGATTCTCCTGCTTCAACCTCTCGAGTAGCTAGGATTACAGGTGCCTGCCACCATCACCAATTAATTTTTGTATTTTTAGTAGAGATAGGTTTTTGCCATGATGGCCAGGCTGGTCTCGAACCCCTGGCCTCAAGTGATCCACCTACCTCAGCCTTCCAAACTGCTGGGATTACAAGTATGAGCCACTGTGTCCTGCCAAAATAGGCTTTTTTGAGGAGAATAAATACATCACTTCTTTATTTCTATGAAGGATATGGACAGATACCCAGCCCTTCTATAGAAACTCTCTTATCGTAGCTGTTCAGAAATGGTCCAAGCATTGGGTGGTGTGGCTTATATTGCAGAGTTCAACAGCAGCTGCCTTTTCCATTCAGGGAAACTTGGGGGCTTACACAATGCTTAGGTGGTTATACTTTGCACATTCATTGATGAATCAGATAGATTTATATAATATTTAAATGTTCCGGGTTAGCAATACTAAACACAAAGGGAATTGAGTGTCTCATCCAAGTGCTTATATTATTGGGAGTAGCATGGAGCAGCTGATGGGAGGCAGCACAGAAACCCCAGAACATATGCACCTGTCCAGCAATGGCTCCCTAATTTTCTCTGCTACAATGCCTCAAATTCTACAGAGTTCATTGTCATCTTCTTTTTTTTTTTTTTTTTTTTTTTGAGACAGAGTTTTGCTCTTGTTGCCCAGGCTGAAGTGCAATGGTGTGATCTCTGCTCACCTCAACCTCCGCCTCCCAGGTCCAAGTGATTCTCCTGCCTCAGCCTCCCAGTAGCTGGGATTACAGGCATGTGCTACCACACCCGACTAATTCTGTGTTTTTAGTGGAGACAAGGTTTCTCCATGTTGTTCAGGCTGGTCTTGAACTCCCGACCTCAGGTAACCCACCTGCCTCGGCCTTCCAAATTATAGATACGAGTCACTGCCCCCCCACAATTGTCATATTTATAATCTTATTTAAAATTGTCACTAAAGTTGAAATGTGATCTGAAGGGGAGACTGTATTAAATCGCTAATAACTTTTCACCTTTAGGTCAAAATAGAATATTAATTTCCTTAGACAGTGAGACTCTAAACCCCAGGATCAGAGTAGAAAGACCTGGATGCTGGCTTCAGTACACCCCGTTGATCACCCAATGTTGAGCTTGAGGAGGACTCTTAATTACAAGGGCCAGAACAGGGAATTACAGAATTGTCTCTACCTAAATCTACTGTCCGCCTTGTGGTATCGAAACAACTGTGCTGTTGATTCAATAGCAGCCTGAATGGGGAGGTGTCACCAATGACCACACGCAGAATTCACTCACATGCATGTACTGAGGCGCCATATACTGCACAAGGCACAGGGTTCACAGGCTCCCTGCCACTGGGGGATGGCTTACATTCTAGCAGCGGCACAGACACTCAGTAAGGAAATAAAGACAGACAATTCAGAGATGGGTGATAGATGACAAAAATCAAGGAAGGAAAGGAGGAGGGAAAGAAAAGTAAGGAAATGTGAGCAGTGCCATGAGCCTGATTTATGAATTTATGTGAGCCTTTTAGTTCATGATTTGTATTTGATGGCCAATCTATCTGGGCCATAAATGAAACCCAAAGTCCAAATCATATAAAGAGATTCAAGCAACAGGGAAGAATAACATGCAAATTGTAAATGGCACTTTTTTTTTTTCACTGAGAGGTTAACTTTAGTCTCTGGAGGTCTTTCACCCTGAAGCTTAAAGCTTTGAAATCTAAACTGAATAAAAAGCAGAACATTCCACAAATGAATCTGCAGCCTGTAGCCTCCATCAGATCATATGGTCATTGGTAAGAGACTGCATGCCTCCCTTTGACTTTTAGAAGGAGTCCACTTCTCAAACTTAGGGAGAGAATAAGGAGTCAACATTGCAAATTAAATGGCGACTCTCACAGGCCAGCTAGGAAGTGGAGGGGTGTGTTTTCTCTGAGCGGCCTCTGAGAGCTGTCTCTCAGGCACACCCTTGGAGGCAAACAGCAGGCTCAGGCTGGGCAGATACTATCAGGACCCGAGGACCCTGTTTTCTCAACCTGCTTGGCAAGTCATTTCCACAGTTCAGAAACGGGGAGTGTCTACCAAGTGCCCCCCGAGGCTCTCATGCCATTCCCCTTCCAGGTGCCTAAGGTGCTAAGGAGAGACCAGTGTAGGCATCTGGGGAGCTGGGCAGGTGCAAGTCAGCCAGGACCAGGCTGGTATGGCCAACAGTGCTGTTAGAAAGCATGGCATTTGACCCTCATCTCCTAGGAGGAACCTGGGCCCAAAGCTCACACAGCTGCCCAGTGTGCCAAGGCCCAGAAGGAGACCCCCACCTCTGTGCAGTGCCCATTTAGGGGAGCCCTGCCTTGGGTAGGGGAACATTATCAGGGTGGCCAGCTTTCCCTATTTTCCCACCACTTTCCAGTTTTAACACCAAGTCCTTTCCTTCCCCAGCTGGCTGGGAAGGCTGCACATCCCTAGAGGAAGCCTTGACCAACGCACATCTGGATGACCTGTTCTTAACTTCACTTTAGTTCCCACTTCTTGAGGAAGCTAATGACAAAATTACTGTGAGCACTCGAACATCCTAAGTGGTTGGTTTGGCAGTTTTATTCTTGCTCTAAATTAGGGCACCTTAGAACATTGCCTCCTTGGTGGGGAAGACCATGTGGTCAGGATTGAGGGCAGTTAGAAGTTTCTCTGACGAGGGCCAGGCATGGTGGCTCACTCCTGTAATCCCAGCACTTTGAGATGCTGAGGCAGGCAGATCACCTGAGGTCAGGAGTTTAAGACCAGCCTGACCAATATGGTGAAACCCCGTCTCCACTAAAAATACAAAAATTAGCCAGGCATGGTGGTGGGCACCTGTAATCCCGACTACTCTGGAGTCTGAGGCAAGAGAATCATTTGAATCCAGGAGGTGGAGGTTACAGTGAGCCAAGATCACTCCACTGCGCTCCAGCCTGGGTGACAGGAGCGAAACTCTGTCTCAAAAAAAAAAAAAAAAAAATTATCTGACATAAGGTAAATGGATGGAGCCAGGCTTCAGTTCTGCACCTGGGAGGACCTCCCTGAAAGGACCCGAGAAGAAACTTGTCACACACTCCAGAATGGCAGAGGAGAATGTCCCATGCCAGCAGGGAGCCAGCACTTCCCCAGGTATCTTCAGTAGCAGAAACTGTACACGGGCTTTCTGTTGGATGTTCCGTGTAACCCCATGACCGTCTGCAAGGATCATCATTTTATGTCTGTGGGAGCAGAGGTGTGGAGAAACCCATTACCTGCCTGGGTCAAAGAACTAATAAGTAGAAGAGCAGGGATTTGAACCTAAATTTGCCTGGCTCCAAAGTCTGCTCTATTTTCTCTCTGTGTTGGTTTATGAGAACAATTAAATGCCAACCAGAATGCTTAAGAAGATGTCATAACTTCTCAAGGGAATAACTGATTCAAAAGATCAAAACCCAAATGTAGTGGATTCTGATACAAAATGCCACTCCAGAACTACTGAAAGGTCTCACATTACCGTCCCCTGAATAACTCAGGTGAGATAGAGGTCCAACATCACACACACAAATTTCAAAGCAGCATGCAAGACAGGCCATCATGGTTCAGTTTATGTTGATAATTTTATATGAGACGAAATGTGTTTTAAGAACAGTAATAAAGAGAAAATCTGAGGGAAAGCAAACTATTCCAGCGAGCTCGGGGCAGTGCTGACTAGGGCCACATTTTGGCAACCTGCTGAACTGGTTGAAAGCCCATTTGCTGGGGCACAAGTTCCACTACAGAGTTTGAATTCCAAGTACAGGTGCCTCGTGTATACATGGAACCCTAAGTCTGGATTAGAAGTCTAAGACCTTCTAGCTCACCTCAGAGAAGTCTAGAGAACTATGATTATTTCAGTGGTGGCTAACTATCGATTTTAGATAAATGGGAAGTGACCACAGTTGTGAAAAGAGCAGGAAATCCTTTAAACTTACTTTGAAGTATTGGAAAGTTCAGTACAGCTTAAGGTCTGTGGGTTTCTTTTCAGCAACAGTAAAAGAAAAGGCCAAGACATGCACATTCCA